CCGCGTTGGCGATTCAATGAAACAATATTAGTAGCCATATTCTTCTCCGGCTAACGTGAGACCAAACTGTTCTTGCCGAAGATAGCTCAAACTTATTTAATGATACTTAACTTCAGTAAGTGGACTGTAATATTAACTATAACAAATTTATTTTAATAAAAACAACATTATTGAAATCTAGCACACGCATGTGCTTATAGTTACCTATGTAACTTAGCTAAGAGCGAGCAACCATATGCTCTTACATCAAGTCAGAAATCATTCATACTAACAAAGCAAAAACGAAATAACTTTAGGGTTACACTAAAGCCAAACTCTGCTTGGCGTAAAACAATGCTGCCAAGCAATACTCTTTCAGACACCGAACAGTGCCTTTTAAGAATACACCTCACACAAATTAAATTTACCTAAAATCTAACCTAACTTTTAGCATTGCGTTGTGATTTATAAGAACCGAATTAGCCTCATGTTGAAACTGGTGATGATCATGAGTAATAATTAAATAAAACATACAATTGTTATCCAACGTACATATCTTAAATTTTATTAAGTTTTTTAAGCGGAAAAGTAAACAAAATTATCAAACAAAGTGTACCAAGAATAATTAAGAATAAATGTCCTCTGGGATTTATTGAATAATTAAGTGAATTTGCTACACAGTACAAGTAATACCATAATTAATTTACCTCTTAGCACAGCCAACGTACATTATGTGGATAGACTGGAATTTTCTCGAACCTGGAAAAGTCAGGAAATTTCATTCTCCTATTTGAGTGGCAACCCTGTTGTAATGAGCTAATGAGTGTGACTTCTTGAATTCAGGTTTAATCTATACACCCCCCATTATTTAAAAAAGTGTCAATATCATTGATAAACCAATTACGTATGTTACAAATGACATACAGCTCTTATCATCTTCTTCACACCTGAGTAAATAAAAATTATTAACGTATTTTAGAAAAACATAGCATATGCTTTCAATTCACTAATAACATATAGTTAACCCCTTAATGACAAGTGTGTCATATATGCATCAGTAGTTAACCCTCTTATGCAGCAGTATGCCGCCTAGCACAACTACCTTGGAGACGGTGTGTTGTTGCATCTGTACGATCTCGTGAGATGGAATATTTCGTGTCGGTAATAAACCTAACTTAAAAAAAAAAAAAAAAATTATTAAAAATACTTTTTTATCAGTTGTTTTGATATTTTTCTGTAGTGGTATCTAACAGTAATTAATCATAAATACAGAATATCAACAGATTCTGAAAAAATTTTAATAAAAATCTGAATTCAAAATAAAATATTTGACTCATCTTGATAAAATGTTGTAAAAAACTTAAATCTATATATATATATAAATATATATTGAAATATTGTAGCATAAATGATTAAGAACAAAGACAGTGTGTGAGATAATCTAGCTGCTATCATTTCATTAGTTTTGAAACGCATTTTCAGGCCGAACTTTTTAATTCCATCCCAGCAGAATAAGTAATCATAGGAATCCCCTCATTTTAGGCACATCTAGAGGAGTATATTGATTTTGGATGAAGATGAATTTTCACCCAGCTTTTGTTCATAGAACTTATTAGTTTCTCCAACTGTTATGTTCATTAGATTATCAAAAAAAATGGTGAAAAAAACAATTTCATTCACATAACTTTGAATTAAGTTTACTTCTGCAATTCCTGTAAATTCATAAGGTCTTCAATTACTTAACAGATCGAGTTCATTATGGAATAGCCACTGTTCTGCTGGATTGTGAGGTAAAAGCAAAACAAACTTCCAATTCAGTATCAAAATCACTATTCTCACTTAAATCTAGCATTTTCGGTGTTAAAATAGTAATTCATGGGCTTTACAATTTGAATTTATGCTTGTTCCATTTAAAACTTCTTTCTCTTAGACATCACATTATTAGTTTAACTCTGTTACCTGGTGCAAAAAAAACTTACCTCTGATATCTAAATAAGATGGAAACTGAATACAAACTGGAGTTCCAAAAGCCCTCATTCGAGCTTTTGCCGAGTCAGCGCACACCTGCCTTCCAGCATCACACCTGCGTTCTACGGGTTTGGATTACAGCTGCTGTCCCTGCTTCCCGGCAAGTATAACTCATTGAATCTCTTTCTTGCGTGTTCTCTCCAAGCCGCGTCGCCGACTGCGTTCAGAGGTCTCGTGAGAAATTCAGTTGCAAGGCTACTCAGAAGTTTCGAGTCTTCTAGTAGAGTAGATTGCAACTTCTTTTACTCTTTTCTTCTTGTGCATGACATCTTGTGCTGATGTCAGGTCAAATTTACAGTTAGACCCAGCGCTTGCGCATACAACAAACATGGAGGATTCAGCACACTCACACATGAAACTTCTGATTATGACTACACGAAATCCTTAGCAGATCCTCAGTTTCACATCCTCAGTCACAAGATAACTTTATCGAATAATGTTAACTCCACCAGGCAAGTTGTACTCGACATTGAAAATGCCTTAAGTCAAACAAATGTTGGATTTTCACCCGAAACAATCAAAGAACTACATCTGCTACATGCAAAAGCCGTCAACCAATTACAAGAACAAGAAAATGCTCTGCAACTATCAACGAACTCAAGAGTTCTAATGAACTTTTACAGAAACAAATAAACGACTTGAAACAATACTGCGAAGCTCATCAAAACTGGAGGTGAATTCTGTAAACAACGGAAATGCAACTAAAAAAGCCTTCAGATTCTGAGAGTGAAAATTATGAACCAAATCATAAAACTAATAATAAATTTCAACTTCTCCAAACCGATAATGACTCAATGAACTTAGATACTGAAGAAGACCACCAACCCACTTCTAATCAACCATCTATATGTACCACTATTCCAAAAACTACCAAAAAGAAATTCTCTGAAATAAAATAAAAAAAATGGAGTTCCACCCATAATAGGGGATAATATTGTTAAAGCTGACGAATTTCTTGAAGATTTAAGTAATCAAACTGGAAGAAAGATAATGGGCACTCTTAAAGGAAATAGACTACAAATTGAACCCCCAGATGCTGACTCTCACCGCTTTATTCGCAAAATCATAGAAAAAACACATCTTAAAGCCCATACATTTCTTCTGCCTGAAGAAAAAGTGATTAAAGTCGTAATCAGAGGCCTGCCAGTGACCATGAACCCCAATTATATTGTCCAGGGACTAACAAACCAAGGCTTTACCATAAATCATATCACTGTCATGAGAAACAGAAAGGAAAATAAGCCAATGCCACTTTTCTTACTTCACCTTTCTAAGAGTAAAGCATCAGGGAAGTTTTATCACATAAAGCACATCGGATATATGAATGTCACTGCTGAGGCCTTAAAACGGAGGTCTGGCCCTCTACAATCTTATCGTTGCCAGCAATACTTCCACAGCTCAATTTTATGTACTCGTGACTGGGTTTGTGTGTGTTGCGGTGGAAATCATGAGCCTAAAAACTGTTCAGTTGACAAAGATAAGCCTGTCACTTGCTGCCATTGTGGTGGTCCACATCCATCTAACTTCTCCAAGTGTCCAGCCAGACCATAAACAAAGCAAAAGTTTATACCCAGCAATCCACCAACCAAAAATCCTTGGAGTTTACAAGACAACAACTTTCCACCTCTCAACGAAGAAATAGATTCTCCGAAGCCTGAAAATAATAAGGACTCCAACTTATCCGAAACTCCAACCACAAGCTCCACCTATTCAGAATTATTTAATTTGGGTTCATTAAAAACAATATGGACTGTTATTATAGAAGGCCTCAAAACTATGAAGAAGCAAACTTCCCCTATAGACAAAAAATAAGTGCAATTGTGGACCTTCTTGACAAAATTAGTATTTGCCTTAATGCCACGCAGTATTGATCTGAGAAACATCAAAATTCTTTCATGGAATGCTAATGGCCTTTTTAACAAAAAAGATGAATTTGGCAATCTTCTTTTAGAACTGGAACCTGATGTAATTCTTATACAGGAAACACATTTGAAACCTGCGCTAAAAGTGCTTTACGCAAATTATTCTATTTACTGTACGGATCGAGAAGCCGGACGCAGAGGTGGAATTATAACTTTTGTTAAAAGGGGCATCCAACGTCAATACAAACAAAATTTTTCTTCCTCTTTTGAAAGTAATACTATTGAAATTCAAATTGAGCACAAAAATTCATTATCTCTAATATCTATATACCTCCTAATAATAGTCCAATCATTTCTGAAATTGAACAGCTACTGGATTTTAACTCTCCTGCTTTAATTGGAGGAGATTTTAATGCTAAGCAACAATGTTGGAATCAAGGAGCTAGCAATAGAAAAGGACGAGAAATTTTTGGCATGATTCAAAATAAAAATTATACTATTCATACCTCTGATGAACCTACGCATTACGGCTATAATAGTTCTTCTATTATTGACTTTTTTCTATCTAAAAACCTCGACTATAATTGCCAAATTTCTGTTATTCCAGCTTTCTCATCTGACTATAATCCTATGATATAATGCAGTACTGATTTACTGGGGTATTTGACAATTGTTTCATTTCTTGTTTTAGTAATTAGTTTATTAGTATGTGCTTTTTTTTATTTTCTAATTTGAAATAAAATTAATTTGGACCTATGCATTTGATCAGTGGATTTTCTTCAGTTATTTTAGGTTTGTATTAATTTTACCTATTATCTGAAAGCACAAAACCGTCCTGTAAAATCGTGTATTTTGATGAAATTTTTATTTTTCAGTTATAAAACACCTGGGGACACTGAGGCCACACCAGGCTAAATATAAATCCAATATAAAACACCGGTAAAAGTCATTCATAAGGCAAAATTGGCTGGATACCACTGGTCTGTATTAATACAAGTCATGCACTGATCTTGCAGTTTAAGTGGCAATAATTTATATTTTGGCAGGACATAAAATTAGCATAGTGAAAGCTTTCTTTAATGCATTAAAATGTTTTGTTCTTAGTGGAGTATATTGTTATATTTTTGGTAGGTAACTCAAGGTGATATAACTGGAGTGCGTTTAATAGTCTTCCGTTACTATGGTCAAATGGATGCAAGTGGAAATGTCTTGACTAGCCAAGAGTATCTGCAAACCCTAAAGGTTAGCTTTTTTAAATTATAATATTTCCTTCTCTTCTTATTTTGCAATACTGTGATAAATGTAATAAATAAATCTTTATTAACCCAGTAAAGGAAAGAACTGAGTTTTAAACTGAACATTTCTTTTAACATTAAAATAATGAACTGGGCATATGTTTAAAGAAATATATTGTATTTCTTTACTATTATTAGCATATGAAATAAATTAGAAATATTGTAATGAAATGGTGTAGAAAATAAGAAAATGATGATATGCCTCTGTTGGTTATTTGTGAAGGCTTAAAAAAATTAAGACTTGTCAATTTATTAAATAAAATCAAAGTTTTGATACCAGTTCATTTGGTGATAATTTGCATTTAGAGAAAAAGATTAGCATTATGAAAGTAGTTGAAGAAGTCAGTGTAAAGCATTTGACCGTCTTTAGTAAAATATTCCTCAAGGCAGAACAGAATTTAAAATATAAAGAGACTTACAGATGTCCAGAACATGCTGTGGAATGCAAATTTTTTAATAATTTAATATTTTGAGTCGTATGTCAAGTAAAATAGAGTGGGAAAAAACACAGCAGGGATTTTATTTTAGCAGAAGCTCTTTCTACGATTTGAACATGATCGTCTTCTTCATCTCCAAAAAGACAAGCATCACCAACAGAAAGGTAAATTGATGAAATTTCAAGAAATAACCGAAAAGGGAAAAAATTTAATGTAGTGAAGCACATGGTGCTATCTATTGCCAAGCATTCTTGCCCAATGAACCATTAATTCAATTTTACTTCTGCCAGAATCATTCAAACTATTCAGTTGATGAATTAGATTTCCTTGGGGTTTCCATATCCATAATAATCTCTCTACATTGGTCAGTGGTTCAAATTCAAATTTTTTCACCCATTTCTGAACATATCATTGATAAAGATCACTCACCTGGAATTATTGACAAAGCAGTTAAAAAAAATATCCAGTTCTAAGAAAAAAATTCTGTTACATTCAATAATAATATTTAGTTTTTGTCCTTTTCTTTCCCCCTGTCACTTACAAAATTGAAAATATATCACAGAAATTCAAATCGATTAGTATTTTTACTCTTAACAATAAAATACACGATTCAGTCCCTATTCTTGTTTTGAATTCGGGGAGAATTTATGTCATTTGTTCTCAGTGCTACTTGAGATACATTGAACTAAGATGAGCTTTAAAATTTCACGTCAGGGAGCATGAGTCTAATTGATCCCCCCCCCCCCCGAAAAAAAAATAAAGGCTATGCCCCAGCATTGTTAAACTACAAACCAAAAATTCAGTTTTATTGCTAACAAACCTGAATGGTAAATTTGGTGAATATGATTTCCTCCATAATAATGTGTTTGCATTGATCAATGATTCATACTGTTATCCATTTTTCTACCAATCTATAAATAGATAGATCATTTCTGATAACATTTTCCAAACTTAGACACTTGCTTTGCTTGTTTTATGCCCCCCTTCACCGTAGAAGGCTTCGGGGTCAGTTTTGAGTACGTTCTTCAAATTTCATCAATCTGTTTTTCTGTTTGTGGTAATTGTCTTTCATTTAGTTGCAGAATTACAAAGAACTTCAAATGTACAACTTGATTCTAACAATAGGAACATGGTACAGGGAGGTGATGTCCAACTACTTTTATGAGCATTATGTTTTACTGTAATTATATGTTATTCTGTTTGATTTAATAAATTTAAATAGTTATGAATTGACTTATTCTATTTCCCTCAATAGCTATATATCATAATAAAATAACTCCACCCACATTACACAGTTTCAATACATTTATTTTCCATAGCGACACTCAGGCGCTAGGTTTCACCTTACAGCGTAACATATGAATCGCAACTTCGAATGTACCACAAAATCAAGTTTCTCACAGAATACATTTCAGTGCCAATTCCGGTGGCGCATGCGCCATTAGCCAAGATTCAGCTCTGGCGCCAAGCATTTCTCAGCTAATACAAAACACTCCCGCCGTTGAAATTAATAATTTCAAAACTATTATTTCAATAAATGTAAGTATAAAGGCACTACAATAAATTACTTCACAATATTGAAAAATATACATTCAAATTATTACAACAAATACCAGTTTATAATAGAAATAAACCATCATTCTACAGGAAGTATACATATATCTAGAACATTTCGTTTCAGCAAATGCTGATTAGGCAATCTTACAGTTACTACTCTTATTTTGTTATCCCTACCATGAAAAACCTCAGCTATTCTCCCCACTAACCATTTGGTTGAAGGCAAATTTTCATCTTTTATTAATACAAGAGTTCCCGACTGAACATCATCCTTTAAAAATTTTCACTTGTGACGTTCTTGTAAATTATTAAGATAATCACGTTTCCATAATTTCCAAATTTTTTGTTTATACTTAGTGATTCTTTGCCATTTAGAAAGTCTGTTTTCATTTATGTTGGATAAATCTGGCTCAGCTAGAGTTGTGATAGGTCTACCAACCAACAAGTGACCTGGGGTCAAAGTTTCAAAATTATTGCAATCAGCTGAAATTGGAGTAAGAGGTCTTGAGTTCAATACTCCTTCGATTTCAGTTAAAACAGTTAAAATTTCTTCTAAAGTTAAACACTGATTACCAATAACTCTCTTCAAATGACTCTTAAATGATTTAACCCCGGCCTCCCAAATTCCGCCAAAATTTGGCGACTTTGGAGGAATAAATTTCCACTCTATACCTTCAGTGGTATAAAAACTCGCTAAATTTTCATCTGGACACTCAACCAATTTTTGCAATTTTTTTAGTTCTACACTAGTACTTTTGAGGTTTACACACTTACCTCTTTTTAATTGATTTATTTCTTCTAGAAACTTACTTTTTTGGGCCTCTAATAAAATATACACCTCAGCATCCTTTATCTCTTCTAAAGTAAATACTCCATACCTCATTGCCTGAGGGTTCTTAAGATTATGGAAAAAACCTGGAAATGAAACTTACAATACGAATAATTAGAAGACAAATTAAGAATATCATTAAAGAGGTTTGGTTCATTACATGCAATTAAAACTAAATTAGAATCGTTATGCAGTTCATTGTCCCTTTTCAGTTCATTTGGACACGCTTCTTCAACTACCTCAATTGATAAGTCCTGATGAGGAATCTCTGAGCATGTTAGAAACTCACGGCATGACCACCATTTGGAACAGTTCACAAGAAAGTCAATTTGAACACCACGCGTCATAACATCTGCTGGGTTCTCTTTTGTTGAACAATAGAACCACTCTGTCGGCTGTGTTAACTTCTTAATCTCGTTAACTCTGTTGGCGATGAAAGATTTCCATGTGGTACTGGTACCTTTAATCCAGCATAGCACTATTTTGGCATCAGTCCAATAAAATATTCTCGAGGATTTCTTTTGATCGAGCAATTTTTTCACTCCAGAACCTAAACGCGCTGCTAGTAATGCACCAAGTAATTTAAGGCGAGGTAACGTAATTCTTTTCACAGATGCAACACAACATTTTGATGCGACAAAACTCACAGAAATTTCTTCTTCCTTACGCAGTTTTACGTAGACAACAGTGTCGTACGCCCTCTGACTGACATCTGAAAAGCAATGGATCTCTATGGAATCGGCTTCGGGATTCAAAATGAATCTTGGAACTGCAATTTTACTTAGATGATGACACTCACAGCACCACTTTGCCCATTCTTGACAGGTAGTTCATCACCCCATGTCAATTTTCAAACCCAAAGTTCTTGTAGCAAGAATTTAAGTCTAACAGTAAATGGAGTTATTAACCCAAAGGGATCAAAAATCTTCCCGGCAGTTTTCAAGATGAACTGTTTTGTATTACGCTTATTCTTAAGGAATTCCATCGAGCTGTCTGTGTCTATACTCAGACTGTCTTCATTAGTATCCCAAGATATTTCCAAGATCTTAAGTGTCTCGTTTGAGTCATTGATTTTATGTGGATGGATCTCGAACTCTTCTTTTTCCTATTTTCTCATCAGCTCAAGATCATTGGATACCCATTTACGCAAGTTCATATTTGCTGCACTCATAATTTGTTTAGCTTTACGCGATAAGCTTAGAACCTCATCTATACTGTCCTGTCCAGTAATAAAATCATCAACATAAACACAAGAATTCAATATTTCAAATACATCTGGCTGTTCATCTCGATATTTTCTAATGTGTTCTTTATTTGTTGCAGTAAAAAAAAAAAACGGACTTGACTTAATCCCAAAATTTACACGCTTGAATCCATATGTCGCTAGTTTTAGATCATTTAATTGTGTGTTTTCCACAAACAGGAATCGCACTGTGTCTTGATCCTTTTCTGCCAAAGCAATCTGCAAAAATGCTTTTTCTACATCCGCTGAAATTGCAACTTTATTTAATCGAAAATTAATTAGCAGATGGAACACATTAGGATTTAAATTTGTCCCTGTCCATAGACAATCGTTCAGTGATAGCTGCCCGAACTCATGTGAGCTGCCATCAAACACTATTCTAGTCTTCGTTGAAGCACTGGTTTCTCTAAATACCAGTTGGTGGGGTAGGTAAAACTGGTTTACCGATAGGTATATTTCCATCTGACACTCTTTCAATGATACCTTGCTTGAAATAATCATCTAATATTTCACTATATGTAGAAAACAGTGTTTTGTCATAATTCATTCACTTTGCAAGAGTTTTTAATCTATTTTCCGCTACTCGGTAATTATCAGCTAATTCCCTCCCTCCAGTCCCTTTTCCAAGGTAAAGTAACCTCGTAGCGACCAGCTTTAAAACAAACTGTCTTATTAAATATTTCCAATGCTTTGTCTTCCTCATGACAATAAGGATCATCTTTAATTCCTAATGATTCTAGTTCGAAAAACATTTCCAATTCACTCTCTGAATTATCATTTATTAACCCACAATGCAATAAATTATTTCTCCATGAATCATTTACATTTCCACTAACTATATATCCAAACACACTCTCTTGTAATATCAAGCCTGTATTAGGAACATAGATTTTACCAGATCATAACATATCATAAAAAAAATTTCCGCGCCGAGCAACAGGTTTACTTTATCTGGTTTATAAAATTCCGGATCTGCTAAATTCACCTTCTCAGGAATCACAAGGTTACTAACATCGATAAACTTTGCGGGAGTTAAACCAGCTATTTTTGGAATTACCGAAACCTCTAGTTTCCTTTTATACGTTTGTTCCTGATTACAGATAAGGGCAACTGCTTTTCTTTTTATCGTAGTTGAAATACCTGATATACTGCGAACCGAAATATTTGTCTTTTCCCTTTTTAAATTAAGTATGTCCGCTAATTCAGTGGTACAAAAACAAGAAACACTTCCACTATCACATAACGCTTTCACCTTAATTAAAGTTCCATCATTAGTCTTAATGAATACAAAGGCAGTAGATAAAATCACGTTTTTCCCATTGTTAGTACCCGTAGCGGCTGTAAAGGTTTCGTTTTGAGTTTTAGCTTGAAATGCAGGTGCGTGTACATTTAACGTATTGCTGTTTTGATCACCTAACTCCTGACCTGAAGTGTCTGCTCTTTCTACTGTAGTGCCAATGGAATTATTTTCGTTTTGATAACACAAGAGAAAGCTATGTTTTTTCTTACACTTCTTGCACAAGTAATTAGAACGGCAATTTCTCACACTGTGCAAATTAAAACAACAAAAACATAAATTCTGTTTTTTCATAAATCCTACCCTTTCTTTTACACTAAATTTCTGAAATTTAGGACAATTAAAAAGCTTGTGATTGCTCAAATTACATAACCTACACGAATTCTGCATATGCTTTTCATTTGCATTAGAAACAACTGCAGTAACTCTATGTGTAACTTTTTTTGTGTTAGTCACACTATTTGAAGCGTTGACAGTTCTTGCATGATCTTTAAGAAATTCTTTAAGATCTGTTAAATTAGGCAAATTCTCTTTCTCTAATTCTCTTTCCCACCATATTTTGGTGTTAGAATCTAATTTTTGGCCTAAAATGTATGCAAATAAATTGGAAGAAAAACCGTTAACACTCTGATTTAAAACTTCTAATGATCCCACGCATTCATTTGTAATGTCAATTAAGTTTAATATTGCTGACGCAGACTCATTTTGCATAGGATGCATATTCATAAATCGTCTCAGATGAGCATACACTTGTTCACAGTGATTAGAGAACCTTTCTTCTAGTAATGAAAAGGCTAATTTATAATTAGAGTTAACTATGGATATTGACTGCACAATACGATAAGCATCACCTCTTAGCGCAGATTTTAAGTACTGTAATTTGACTGCATCTGTTAAATTAGGATTTAAATCAACACTGGCTAAAAAGATATCTTTAAATGAAAGCCAGTCATGTAAGTTACCCGAAAACGTTGGCAAAGTAATTTTCGGTAATTTAACGTTGTTCTCGGTATTCGTGCAAACCGAAGGCTCCGATTTAATTTCTTTGGAAAGTTTAGCTAATTTATGATTTAATTCGACTTCTACATCTAAGAGAATATCGTCAATCTCTTCTTTCTCTTTTACATAAGCATCAATACTTTCTTCCGTACATACCCCGAACAAAGAATCGAAATTAGAATTTATTTCTGTCTCAAACACTTTAAATTTATTCTTTAGTACTTCCAAGTCACTTCCTTGGACATTTTCATCCGCAACCTTTTGTTTTAATTTTATTATCTGTGTTTTCAATGTATGTTTTTTCGCTAATATCTCCTTAAGTGACATTTTAATTAGCAAAAGTCAATAAACAGATAAAGAGCTTCAAAAAGGAGGAGGGTACTTACCCTTTTGTTTCTACGGAACTTCAATCTTGAAGTATCCTATATAATTCTTCAATTTACAAACCGAAAATAATATCACAGTCTCAAAAACTTCATTAGCTGCTCCGGCTCGACGGACCACAAAACTTGAATTGACTTATTCTATTTCCTGTTGATAGCTATATATCATAATAAAATAACTCCACACACATTACACAGTTTCAATACATTTATTTTCCATAGCGACACTCAGGCGCTAGGTTTCACCTTACAGCATAACATATGAATCGCAACTTTGAATGTACCACAAAATCAAGTTTCTCACAGAATACATTTCAGTGCCAATTCCGGCGGCGCATGCACCATTAGCCAAGATTCAGCTCTGGCGCCAAGCATTTCTCAGCTAATACAAAACAAGTTATATGATGTTTATTTTCTGTGTATGTTAAAAAATGGGTATAATATTGTGATGAACCTTCAAATTAAATATAAGATGAAATTTCGCTGTGTGTGTTGTTATCATTAAGTTTAGTTATCTTGATAGAAGACTTTTTTTATTTTTGCTTAGAAATATAATCCACATTTTGTTTATGTTTACGTATTAATTACATCCATTTTTAGGTCCGTCTGTATCGAGAAGATGCACCTGATCAAATTGTTCATTCCATTAGTTTGGGCCAAAGCAGTTTCTTCTACTTGCCATCAATGCCTATTGATAATAGAACATATGTTTTGCAACTTGAATCCTCATTATCAACAAATGCTTACATTTTTGAACAGCCATCCGTAACCTTTTGTGCTAATACTTCATTCTACCATTTTACATTTTCTTTCAGTCCTCGAATGAAATCAATTGAGCAAGAAGTTACTCAAGGTTCTGTTTTGGCTCTTCCATTAGCTATTATTTCTTTACTTCTTGCTTATAATTATTCTAAACTTTTGCCTTTGCTTTCTCATATATTTTACTTATTTACTACGATTGCAAATCCTGCTAAATCACAATCAGCTGCAGAAAGTGTATCATCAGAAAATATAAATGTTCGTAGGAAGACAAGGCCTCGGAGGGTACAATAATTTTGTATTATATTAATTTTTAAATTAAAATATTCACATGATGTTGATTTTGACTATATCTGTTTATTTATAGCCTACTGTCTCATTTCTCTTTTAAAAATTAATCCATAAATGCAGATTGTTGCATATAGTCTGATTGAAACTTATAATACTATCAAACTTTTTTTAAGTCTTTTCCCATATTGTTACTTAAAAATGATGAATACAGAAATTTTGAAGTCATTTTTAGCAAACAATGGGAACACAGAATCGAAATATTTGAATCTTAAGAAACGGCATTTTATTACATTTAAATGCCTTCTGATAAATAACAACTGCCATATATAAGGGGAAAAAATTGCTTTTCAATGCTAACGGGTACGTTGTTTTCTTTTGTTTGAATAGCATGACATGTTTTTGGTTTTTAGATGTTTATTAAATACCAATTCGTAAGAAAACAATTTCTTTTAATGTGTAGGTTATTTGGAAAGTAAAGTCCAATTTCTTATAAAACGTAAACATGACAGTTCCCCCCCCCCCCCAATTTTTTTTTTTTTTTTAATTATTTATTTAATTCCTTACATCTTTCTGTATTTTTCTACATAGTTTCCATATTTGTTTAAACATTTGTCATACCATGTGCTAAAAAGGAAACCTAAGCTATTTGTCATAACCTAAGCTTTTGTGTGCCTAAGTCATAGACATCTGCCGCTTGTGAGGATAACCAGTCTTGAACTGCTTCTTTTACCTCATCATCTGTGGCCAGGGTTCGTACGGTCCTTAAAAGTCCTTAATTTTTTCAAAAATGATTTTTGGTCCTTAAAAGTCCTTAATTAAGTTCTTTAAGAGGTGAAAGTGATGATGAAGGTGCTCGAGAAAAAAAAAGGGGGGAATCTGAAAATATTTGCCAAAATCAGAGCAATTCCAACCCTTCCGACGCCAATAGGAACGAGATGCCTGGAAAGTACATTTTCAATAAACTGTGGCTTCATCAAGCTGACTACAAAGACTGGATATTGATGGATGGCAATCCTTAAATGTGGTCTTTGTCTGAAACAAATTGAAATTTCTAGAATGGGAGAGTCAGTGCTGAAAATTCACATGAAAATTAAGTTTCAGTTTATCATTTCAATTTGTTTTTACATGGTTTTGCTTAGCTAATTTCTGTGTTTGTCAATTAAGCCATAAATTAATTTTTTATCACCTTCTACGGAGTTTATTCTCTTTTGCACATACTATATGTATTGGATATCGGGATTATGAGTTTATTTCTGCAGAGGGTCTGTTATCGATTTCGCGGGAAATCTGTTGGCTCCATTTTGATTTTAGGTCGCCAAGGGCAAATTCGGCAACGCTAGCCGAGAAAAAGTGAAGTTCGGAAATACGTTTTAAAGCTTCAATAGACAATTAAGTATTTGGTTTAAACCTATGTTGTTGATAGTAATGCATAATTTTTGCTAATGGCGATACAATTATTATTTGAAAATAACTAACTAATTAAAAATTTTTTAATATTTTTAAAGCTGAAAACAACTAATTTTTCCTGAATTAACTAGACGCAAAATTAACTTTCATGAATTACTAAAGTTATTGGGTAGAAGTTTAACTGAAAATATATATTCCGTATTATATATATATATATATATATATATATATATATACAGTACAAAGTCCGAGGTCGGGACTTCGGCGATCCCTGATTTGAGATTTTTCCGGATATTAGATAATTTTAAATCTACTAACATGCCACGTAGAAATTATAAAATTGAAATTATGAAATCGTGATTTATGAAATAATGAAGCATTTATGATTTAAAGGGTATCAAAATTTACAAAAGAAAAGAGAATATTTATATGTTTACTTTATTAAACATTTCTTTCAATGTGAGTTGTTTGATTTGTTTTCTCTGCTAATACTATAGACATATAATTTCTTGTTCAGTTATTAAGTTCCATTGCTCAAGTCCTGTAATTGCTGTGTCGAGAATTCCGAATAACTTGTCAACCAAAATTTTTTCTCGTTCAGTAACCTCTCTGTTACTTTCTTCACTATCGGTAGCTGTATTTTCTGGATTTAGAACTAACTATACTACAGATTTCGCCCTTCGTTATTTGATTGATGATTGGGCATTGTCATCGCAATGAAAAACTTCTGTTTAACTTCGCTAAATTCTGCCGCCTGTGGCGGCCATGCGAGATCTGGCGCTGGTTCTGGCTTTATGTGAGTAACAAATCAGTTATTCTTAATTCAAATAGCACTAAATATAATCATTTGTCCTATGAGTATCATTAACAAAATCTATTTTTAGCATAAGGAAAGAAATTTCTGCTAAATCTCCCCTTGTCAACATTTTAGCGCATTAAACTTAAATCTGTAATCGGATAATACTCTGTTATTTGGCGTCGCTGCATGAGTCATCACTCAGGTTGTCATCAGTTGATAAACATGCGGTGATGAAAGCAAAATACATTAAATAATGATTCGCGATTTCGGCATCAAGGATATAAAATTAGTTGGTGTAAAATTAACAAATGTTTCGGTTTGAGATTATGCCAAGCAGAGATACGCAGCTATGGAGTCAATTTACTAATCACACAAATTTATGCTAAAATAATTATTTCTTTAATAATGAGATATTTTATTTAGCGCCAAACTGAGATTAAGAATCGGGATTACCGACATGTTTTTTTTTTTTTTTTTTTATGATGAGGAAAAAAATCTAATGCACGTGCGTAAAGCATAACCCCATCCCTTCAAAAAAGCCGTAAAAAATTGGTTGATGGTGGCTTTGATGTCCGGATTTTAGATCATTCCAGATATTGAATGTCCGGATCTCGGACTTTGTACTGTATATATATATATATATCTTTCAAAATATAACTTACCAGTATGGATTCACTCTTTTAAAATAATTCTACTTTAATTAAACTTAGGAGATAATATAATCAATTAATCAATATTGTTTAGGAAATAAATTATATATATATATATATATATATAGTAAAAAAATGTATATTTTCACTATTCAAGTATTCACTGTGACAAGTAATATTATCTTGTCACATGAACAGGCCTCTGTGGAAAGGGGCTTCTCTGTAAATAAAGCAATTGAAATTGAAAATTTAAGTGAATACATTTTTTTTCAACGCACAGTATTTGATTACATAAAATTTTCTGGAGGTGTTCTTAATATCGAAATTAATAAAGAAATGAGATCAGAAGCAGCTTCTGCAAGAAGTGGAGTTCGTTATTTAGAAGTTCAGTATTTAGAAGAACAAAAATCTTTAACTAAATCTGAAAATTCAAAGAGGAAAAGAAATATTATTGAGGAAGAAATTGATTACATGAAGCAGAAGAAAAAATTTCTTCAAAGGGACATTAAAGATATTAATGAAGAAGTAGATGCTTTAGCAGATGAAGCTGAGACCAGCAGGAACATTGATTTGTTTATCAAAGCAAATGAACGTAGAAGAATAGTTAAAGAAAAGGAAATAGACATAAATAAATTAGATGTTAAAATAGCTGAAAAGATTTCAGATTTAAAAAAAGCACAAATGTTTTGTATCTTTTATTGTTTAGTTTATTATTCTAGTATCTTTCAAAAAACCAAGGAAATAAATTGTATGTTTACAAATCAGTTATTTTAATCTGCAAAATATTCTTACATTGTGATTATAATAGTAGTTCACTGTGTTTAAATAAATATCAAATAAGTTAAATAATAATCATGTAAATCTCTAAAATAGTGACTGTTATTAGTGTAAAATACACTTATACATGTTTTTCAAGAAATTATGTTCCTAATTTAATGTTATCTACTTCATAACTTGTAGGGAGTTAGTTTAATTTTCAAAATTGTTTTATGGTAAGTATTAAATTGAATTTAATAATAGTGCATAATACACACTTTTGTTAGTTTCTTAAAGTGAAATTACAAGCATGAAGTCGGTTGTATGGATAATTGCTTTATTCTATTCATTTTTTTGTTTGCTGATAGGTCCTTAATTTTTTCTTTGATGGTCCTTAAAAGTCCTTAATTTTCATGTAAGGAAATGTGTACGAACCCTGGTGGCGGAGCGCTTGCCTTTGAGAAACTTCTTTAGGTACTGAACAAGTGAAAATCGATCAGCACCAAGGATCATTGTACTGTGGGTGGTCAATCTGTTCCCATCCAAAAGATGAAATCAAATTTTGGGTGTGAATGGCAGAATGGGACCTGGCATTGTCATGCAGCAACAAAACTCCAGACATCAGAAGGCCACGTCTTAGGTTTAGTCAGGGTAACGCAGTAAGTGGCTGCATTTATTGTTGTCCCTTGCTGCATAAACTTGACTAATAAGACTCCATGTTCAGTCCCAGAACACGATTGGCATAACCTTGCATGTTGAGATTCTATGCATAGCCTTGACTCTGATTTGTGATTCCTCTGGGGTTATGTGAGAAACCCAAGTATCGTTCCCTGTTACTATCCTCTAAAAATCGATCATCTTCCTTGTCATATTGGTCCAAAAAAGGAGCACAAGCAATTCTTTTCACATGGTGTTCCTCAGTAAGCAGCCTGGGAACCCAGTGTGCGCACAATTTGTGAAATTGCAACTTTTCAGAGACAATTTTGCGCAAAGTTTTCTACCCTTATTCGGAAATTCCAGTGCTAAAAGTTGAAATTGTGAATCATAGGTCTTCACAAATCTTTTCGTCCCTACGATACGGCACTGATGATTGTCCTGATTGCGATTCGTCATGGATGTTTTCCCGTCCATCCTTGAAAGCTCTCTCCCGGTCTCCTGTCATAGCATTGAGGCCATACACGTCGTTTGTCTTTCTATGGATTTCCTCTGCTTAAACGTCCTTGCTGTAAAAAAAATGGAATCATTGACTGTTTTCACAGTCGTCAGGCTGACCAGTTGTTATAAAAGTTTGAACTGACACTGTACACAGCACACTGTGAAGGCCCGTCTACACGTAGTGATTTTCCTTGGCCAACAATACCTGAAATAGCTCGCCTGTCCACATTGAACGATTTTCTCATGATTCCCACATGGGTTTCACTGATTCCCACATGGAACG